TTGGCACCACAAGCCACCTTGCCACTGCCCAAGCCTGGGCATTGGCCCTGGAAAAAGAGAGTGTCCTCCAGGCCAGACCCTAGGTTGCCAGTCCCCGCCCACAGGAACGCAGAGTCCAGTTGTTGCGTTCGTGGAAAATCCACATCAGGGAGGTCAATGAGCAACCTGCAGGCCTGTTTTCCACCCCTGATGGTGCAAACAGACTTGCGGAGGTCAGGTGGCGCCAGGGGGCTGGGCGGCTTGGACAGAACCTTGGCCAATGACAGCTGGCAGCTAGAAAAAGAGAAGTGGCAAACACCCTTCTTGGATGGAAAATACTCTCTGGCTCTGGCTGCAGCTTGCTTGGGAGGGGCCTCCTCTGCTCGGGAACCATCCTTTTGGGGGGCGGGGAAGAAGTGCAACTGCACTCCAGTCTGGGCGACAGAGTGAGACTCTGTCTCAAACACACACACACACACACACACACACACACACACACACACACACCCCTCGAGTCTATAAGACACTGGACAGAGACTTAACAAGTAGTAGTTTTACAAACATGGAAAGCCTGGGTGAGACTGGGAGCAGCCTGCAGGAGACAGCAGGGGTGAGAGAGGAGTGGCACCTCCCCTCTGTGGGTCTCCACCTCTGCATTGCCTCCACAAAGTCCCCAGCTCCATAAAATTTAACAGCCTAGCGAAGAGCAGCGCTCCAATTCTGACCCATTGACCCCTGGAGTTGCACAAAGAGGGGCGTTCGGCCCAAGGAAGGGCCTCGCAGGTGGACCTTGGACGAATAGGGTACAGGAGGGCCTAGGAAGCCTCTCCCCCACTTCTTCCTGCCTCCTCTAATCTCTCCACCCAGCCTGGACTTCCGCCATCAGTGATTTCTGTGGTTTAAACCAGAGATCAGCAAAATCTGGTCTGAACTTGATTTTGTAAAGCCTGCGTGCAAACTAAGAATGGCTTTTACATTTGTAAATGGTTGAGAAACATCAAAAGAAGAAGAATATTTCATGGCACATGAAAATGATAATAAATTTGAAATGTAAGTGTCCACAAATAAAGTTTTATTGGAACATAGCCGTGCCCATCTGTTCATGGGTTCTCCGGGGCTGCTTTTGTGCTGCAATGGCAAAGGTAAGTCATTTTGACAGAACTTGAATGTCCCGCAAAGCAGAGAGTAACTACTATCTGGTCCTAACAGAAAAACTTTGCAGACTGGTTTAAAGGAAACCCGCAGGAAGAAGCGCCCTGGAGAAGGTTCTATTGGGGCTGTTAGTTGGGAATCAAGAGTCCCAGTTTGACTATTAACCAGTTACACCTCAGGCAACTGACTGGATCATGTTCCCTCCCTGTACCCTCCTTTCTCCATCTGTAAAATGGACACAGCGATTTCTTCTCTGCGTACACAGAACAGCTCGGTTTAGACAGCCTGATTGTCATTCATCTCTAGAAGGAAATAACTCAGACAACTTTCCTCATTGCCTGGATGAGAGGGAGGGGACACTTAGGGGGAGCTGACCATGCCACACTGAGTAGGAGGAATAGGGAGAGAGGAACTCTTATCTTCAGAACCATATGCAAAAGACAACCTCTGTCCCAGAGGCTGTGTTGGGGCAGCTGGCAACAAAGAGGCCACCCAGGCGGGGGGCTGCAACCAGCCCAGGGAGAAGGCAGGAACAGGAGGAGAAGGAGGAGCAGGAGCGTAGGCTTCTGCCAACCCCGTTTCACCTGCACTCCTCCCAAGACCCAGCACACTGGAGATAGGCCAACACGCAGATATGCATTGACTTTTGAAAAACCCATGTTCGTTAAGAGATGGGGTCTTGCTCTCTCACCTAGGCTGGAGTGCAGTGGCCAGATCATAGCTCACTGTAGCCCCAAACTCCTGGGCTCAAGGATCTTCCCTCCTCAGCTTCCCAGGTAGCTGGGACTACAGGCGTGCATGACCACACCTAGCTATACATTTACTCTTGTCTCTCCCTAGCTCACTCATCAAAGCCTAAGTCTCTATGGTGGCCCAAAGACCCCACAGGATCCACCCCACCCCCTCGACCTTTCTCTCTTCCCTTTCTCCCACCTCATTCATCGCCAGCCTCCCCAACCTCCCGGCTGGACCCTCCTGCCTGAGGGCCCTGACACCTGCTGTCCCCTCTTCCGGAACACCCCTCCCCTCTATTGCGATGACCATGTAACCTTCTCCTTCACCTTCTTCAGGTCTCTTCTCAGGTGCCACCTGCTCAGTGAGGCCTGCCCTGACCTCCTTTTAAAAACTACCCCAGGGTCCGGGCACAGTGGCTCACATCTGTAATTCCAGCACTTTAGGAGGCCAAGGCGAGGGAATCTCTTGAGGTCAGGAGTTTGAGACCAGCCTGGCCAACATGGTGAAACCCCATCTCTACTGAAAATACAAAAATTAGGCCAGGCATGGTAGCTCATGCATGTAATCCCAGCACTTTGGGAGGCCGAGGCAGGCAAATCACCTGAGGTCGGGGGTCGGGAGTCTGAGACCAACATGGAGAAACCCCGTTTCTCTTTTTTTTTTTTTTTTTTTTTTTGAGATAGAGTCTCGCTCTGTCGCCCAGGCTGGAGTGCAGTGGCGCAATCTCGTCTCACTGCAAACTCCACCTCCCAGGTTCATGCCATTCTCCTGCCTCAGCCTCTCGGGTAGCTGGGACTACGGGTGCCCGCCACCATGCCCAGCTAATTTTTTAAATTTTTTTTTAGTAGAGACGGGGTTTCACCGTGTTAGCCAGGATGGTCTCCATATCCTGACCTCATAATCTGCCTGCCTTGGCCTCCCGAAGTGCTGGGATTACAGGTATGAGCCACTGCACCTGGCCCGAGAAATCCTGTTTCTACTGAAAATACAAAATTAGCCGGGTGTGGTGGCGCATGCCTGTAATACCAGCTACTCGGGAGGCTGAGGCAGGAGAATCACTTGAACCCGGGAGGCAGAGGTTGCGGTGAGCTGAGACCACGCCATTGCACTCCAGCCTGGACAGCAAGAGCGAAACTCCATCTCAAAAAAAAAAAAAAAAAAAAAAAAAAAGGCTACTTAGGGATTGTTGCACTAAACTTCCACCCATCCATTCATCTAACAAAGGCCCTTCCTGTGGATGAATTAGATGAATTATTAAGCCCAGGACCTAGAAACAGCCCTTGCCTTCAATAATCTGTCCCCCAGAGGGGGAGATGCTATCAGGAAAAAGATAGCTTGGAACAGGACTCAAGTGAAACCCAGGGGCGAGCTGCGAAGGATACAAGATAATAGCTAAGCCATAAAGCCTGCTGTAGGAGTCTATGACTGGAAAGCAACAAGAGTTAGCTGATAAAAATAGGCTAGAGTAAGCCGGGTGCAGTGGCACATGCCTGTAATCCCAGCACTTTGGGAGGCTAAGGTGCAATGATCCTTTGAGCCCAGGAGTTCCAGACCAGACTGAACAACATAATGAAACTTCATCTCTACAAAACATTTAAAAAATAAGGCCTGGCATGGTGGCTCATGCCTGTAATCCCAGCACTTTGGGGGGTCGAGGCAGGCAAATCACCTGAGGTCAGGAATTTGAGACCAGCCTCACCAACATGGAGAAACCCTGTCTCTACTGAAAATACAAAATTTAGCTGAGCATGGTGGCAGGTGCCTGTAATCCCAGCTACTTAGGAGGCTGAGGCAGAAGAATCACTTGAACCCAGGAGGCGGAGGTTGCGGTGAGCCAAGATCTCACCATTGCACTCCAGCCTGGGCAACAAGAACAAAATTCCATTTCAAAAACAACAACAACAACAACAACAACAACAAAATATATGAGCCAGGTGTGGTGGTGCATGCCTGTGGTCCCAGCTACTCAGGAGGTTAAGGTGGGAGGACTGCTTGAGCCCAGGAGGCAGAGATTGAGGTGAGCAGAGATCACGCCACTGCACTCCAGCCTGGGTGACGGAGCGAGATCCTATCTCAAAATAATGATCATATCACATTGGGATTTTCCTAAGGGAGTAGATTTTAGGTGTTCTTGCCACAAAAATAAGTATATACGAGATGATGGGTATGTTTTAATATTATTTTTTTCAAGCCCACCCAAAATCCCTAATGGCTATGTTAATTGGTTTGACTATAGTAACCATTTCATTATGCATATCAAAGCGTCATGTTGTATGACTTACCCACATACAAAACATGAAGAATTAATATAAAGGCCAGGCATGGTATCATGTGCCTGTAGTTTCAGCTGCTCTGGAGTCTGAGGCAGGAGGATGGCAAGGCCAGGAGGTCGAGGCTGCAGTGAGCCACGATCATGTCATTCGCAATTCCAGCTTGGGCGAAGGGACAAGACCCTGCCTCTAAAAAGTAAAATTTTTTTTGCCACTGGCTGTTGCTGTCTATGCAACACATTTACTCCTCATTTAATTGCCCCCACAGCCCTGTGGGGGAAGGGAGGGCCCTATATTTTATGGATTAGGAAACTGAGGCCAGGAGGTGCCTGAGGCAACCCTACTCCTAAGGAGAGGAGGCTGGTGGACTCAAACTGCAGTGCTCCTGGATCAGAACAGAAGGCGTGATCTCCTTCCCAGTTAAAACCCTTCCCTACAAAGCAAAATAATTAGACAAAGAAACCAAGTTGGTTAAAAAAGCAATCTTTTTATATTGTAACAGGGTTCAGAATGACACCGCCAGGTGTGGCCAGGCGACAGCTGCTGCCACCCCCAATGCGGAGTCTGCCTCCTCCCCCAGGCGTCCAGGTGCCCTGTGTCCCTGTCCCGCTCCCACTGAGGGGCGGATCACACTTGGAGGCTTCCCCGGGCCCTGCCTGCGGGCCTGGCCACCCAAGGACCGCCCCGGACGCCTCCCTCCGTGAGCTCAGGTCCTCGCTGTCGGGGGTCAAGGCTGCGCGCAGGGTCGTGTTGACCCAAGGTCTCGCTGACGCATGGGGCGAGAGATGATGACGCTCCGCTTGCCACAGCAGGTGGCGTGGACCAAGCTCCTCCTCGCCCCCTTCCTCGGGGGTCACGCCAGGGCAGCTGCCAATGCCCTGTCCCGTTTAGTAGGGGTAGGGGGACACGGCGATGAGCAGGACGAAGACGCTTTGGTGGCGTGGCGCCGCGGCGCGCACGGTGAGCCGGTAGAGGCCAGAGCGGGTGAGCGCGCGACGGGTGTAGACCGCGCCGAGGCCCGCGCGCACCGGGCGCAGCGCGAAGGGGCTGCGCGGGTCCGGCTCCAGCACGCTGAGCTCGGTGCGGTTGGCTGGGACGCCAGACTCGGAGAAGGCGGCAAGGCGGGCCACGTCGTGGTGGGCGCGAACGCCCAGGGGCAGCGGCAGCAGCCGGTACTGCAGCGTGGAGGGGCCGCCGGTGTCGCAGTCCTGCGAGCAGCGCCGGAAGCACGTCCTGCGGGCGGCACAGACAGACACACGGACAGGCGGACTCGGGGGTGGGTCTGAGCGTGGCCCGGCTGCGTAATCAGACCTCCCTGCCAGCCCCTGCAGTTCCGCCCACGCGCTGCCCGTCCTTCTGCCGCAGAGCCCCACAGGCCTTCTCTGCGGGCATCCCCGCTAGCCCGTTTTAGAGATCAACAAACTGAGGCCCAGAGAAGCCAGAGGCGTGCCCTTTCAGGGTCTCTCCAGCGAACTTTCCAGGTCCATGCCCCAGGGAAGCCCAGCAGACACAGGGGAACTGATGTGTTCCTGGGCCGAGTCACCCAGTCTGGATTTGCCCTGCCAGGGTGGGATGAGAGGTGGAGACTGAGCTTAGCCTTGCCCGGGGCATCCGCTTCCAACCCCAGCCTAGGTTTCTAGTTGTAAGGCCTGGGGCAGGTCACCCGCCGCAAGAAACCTTTGCAGGGCAGTGCTGTCACCCCTAAGGTCCCCATGTCTCCGTGCGTCGTGGTAAGTGTCTGTGGCCGCTGTGAGTGGCGTGGAGGAGATGGGTTTGGTGCTCGCGTGTCTGAGTTTTGTCCTGGGGTTGTGAGTCTGCATGGTGTTCCTGTGTCTGGGGTTTGGTGTGTGTGCTGCTGTGTTCCCGTGTTCCCACTCTGGCCTCTCCCTGTCCCCAGGGCTCCCTGCGCTCCTGCCTGTATCACTTGTGTGGGGAGTTACAGTGACAGGGCCAGCCTGAACCTGGAGTGACTGAAAAATGTGCTTTTCCTGAGGGCACAAGGCCCTGCCAACTCAGCCCTTACCCAGGGCTGGGGCCCTGCCGGTAGGTGGCAGGACAGGGTGTGTCCACACACTGGTAGCTGCCGCGGGTGTTGAAGCACATCTGGCCGGGTCCACACTCGATGTCCTCCTCTTCGCACTCGTTGATATCTGGATGGGGGAGGTTGGTGAAGTGGGGGAGGGAGATGAAAAGATGGAGCAAAGGAGAGGGGGGAGTGTGTGGGAAGTACCTTTGAGGGACCAGTGAGGTGAGCAGCCCTTCTCCCTTTGTCCCCAGTCAGTCTGACCCGTGACCACCCAGCCTGGAGGCCCCTAGCACCTTCTCATCTCCCCGGGGACTGGGGCTTTCCAGGGTGTGTAGATGGGCACCATGGGGGCCTCCTGAGCAAGTGCTGGGTGGGAGGGCCTGGGAGAGAGAGGGCTTTCCCTGGGTGGCTGCTTTGCCCGAAGACCTTGAGTGCCCACTGCCCACGGGCAGAGCCCCTGATCCTGTCTGCCTCAGTGGAACCCCCACCCTTCTCAGAGGATGTTCGGTGACCTCCATGACAGCGTGAGGGACGGAGACAGGCAGGGCAGGCATGGTTCCTGTTCTCTTGGAGGAAGCAGCATGACTGGCCCCAGCCCCGTTTGTGCACACCAGGGCAACTGTGCCCGGTTTAGGGGTTAGACGACCTGACTCTACCAGCAGCAGCAGCTGTGCGGCTCTGTGCTCAGCCTCCACAGCTGTCATCCCAGCTATTTGAGGGGGACTGTGTTAGCCCCATTTAACCAGGAGGCTCAGAGAGGTGAAGTCAGTTTCCTAGGGACACACAGCAGAGTTGGGATTGGCCTTGCAGGGCTGCTTTCAGAGCCTGCCCGCGTAATCTCAGAGCTTCTGTCCGGAGCACGGGCCCTGGCATGGCTGTGAGAGCCTGGGGTGTTCACGGAACCCCTCTGAGCCTGCCTCCCCGCCCCACCCTCACAGGATAGTTGTGAAGGGGCTGGAGTGAACGGAGTAGGTGAGATGCCACATGTCCCATCCCACGCTGCCTGCCTTAGCCCCATGGGTGTCTGGGCGGCAGCCTGAGCCTGGCTCACCCTGGCAGTTCTTCCCGCTGGGGAGCAGGCGGTAGCCGGCGGGGCACAGGCACTGGTAGCTGCCCTCGGTGTTGCGGCAGGCGTGCTGACACAGGTTCCTCACCCGGCACTCGTCGAGGTCTGACCCGGGCATGGGGGTGGGGCAGGTGGGGGACGGGGGCAGAGAGATGCACTGAACCACAGACACTGACATGGCCACACACCTGTCCACTGGGCTCTGGAGCTGCCCTGCTCCTTCTCCCTGTCCTGCCCCTCCCAGCCCGGGTTCAGGGGCTGGGGGAGTCCCTGGGCTTGGTGAGAGGGAGGATCCCCACCTTACCTACCCCATGCTCGCCAAGGCATAGAGGGAGCAGGCAGCACCGCCCCACACACCCCTCCATCCAGGCAGGAATGCCAAGGCGTCAGCCCAGGGGCAGGCCACCTCCTCTTTGTCCCTCTCTGCAGGGTCCAGGGGCCATCCCCCACCTCGCCCCCTCTACTCAGCAGTCCCTTGTCACATTCTCATGTCTACCTGGAACATTCTCCTTCACCCCTGAAAATCCCCCTGCCTGACGGCTTTCCCTCTGAGTGCTAACAGGAGTGTTTCTCAAAGAGGATTCCCAGGACCACTTGCCTAGGATGCCCTTCTTCTGGGCAAAGTGTCCTGAAGTCAAAAATAGTCCACTCCCATCTTGGAAATCCCCTGCCCAGTAGCACAGCCAAGGCTCTGAGACACCCTGCATCAGAGAAGCCACCATCCCACACCACCCACCCCACTTGCCTGGAAGGTCTGGGTTTCTGGACTCCATGGGTGGCACCTGCACACCCACCCCAGGGGCCCAGGGCCCATAATGGCAGTGTCCCGTGGAGGGTCAGGGCCTGGCCTTACCTGTGCAGACTCCGTTCTGCCTGATGAAACCAGGAGGGCACCAGGCCCGGCCCACACTGCTCAGGGCCACGGGACCCGGCCGGAGAGAGACCCAGGGGTGGTAGGAGCCACCAGGGATCGAGGCCCGGGGCCGCAGCCAGGGCACTAGAGGGCCTCGGTGGCTGACAGCGGTCACATTTTGTCCATTCCGCTCCAGTGAGGTGCAGGCCTTGCCGTCGCGAAGGAGGGTCTGGCCTGGGGGGCACAGGCAGCGGTAGCTGCCCTGGAGGTTGTGGCACTGGTAGGCGCAGGCCTTGGGCAGCTGCAGGCACTCATTGACATCTGTAGAGGGGCGGGGTCAGGCGTGTGCGCAGGTGGCCCAGGGTCCCCTGCAGCCTGCAGCCATTGCCTGGCCCTGCCTTCTTTTTTGCTGGCACTCCCTAGAATCCCACCACTCCCACGCTGCGTGCGGGCCACACTGCATCCCCCTCTCCTGGACCAGCCCCAGCCTCCAATCTGATTCCACCTACAGCTCCCAGAGGCCCAACCTCCCCAGCTCTCAGCATCATCCCAGACTCCAGCTCCCCCTCAGCCCTTCGGTGCCCCAGTTAGATCCATTCCCTCTCCTAAGCCTCTCTGAGATACACCCACTTGCTTCCACAGTCCTCCCCCTCCTGAAATTCCCCGGAAGATGACCCCATAGAATCAGGCTGAGGTTTTGGTGTACAGGCAGGCACACAGTGAGGCGATGTGTCGGTGCTGTTTGGTTCTTCTCAGGACTCACCAGGACTGGCGCCTTAGACACCCTCAGTCCCTGAGCTGGGGGTGCCGGCCAGAGGGTGGGTCTCCCCGTACCTAGGCAGGGCAGGCTGGGGCCCTGCATCCGGTAGCCCCTGGAGCAGCTGCAGCGGTGACCGCCTGGGGTGTTCTCGCAGAGCTGGTTGTAGTGACAGTCGTCCAACCCCTCCAGGCATTCGTCCACATCTGGGAGGCAGGGCCATGGTCAGGGGGCGAGGTCTAGCCCAGAGCCCCTCCCCCAAGGGACAGACCATCCCCCTCCATATCTGGGCCTCCTCCCTGTCCCCTTCTCCAGTTTCAGTGCTACCAGGCTGCATGGCAGCCCTTGCAGCACCTCCCCCAGTTATACCAGGTTGGAGGTCAACAGGGTTCCAGGTCCCAAAAAAAGGAAGGGGCTGAAAGGGTGGGCTTTGCGGGCAGAGTCCTGGGTTCCGCTGAGCTCTGCCATATTCTAGCCCTTGGTAAGGAACTCTTTCTCTCTGAGCCTCAGTTTCCTCATCCATAAAGCGGGTAGAGATGTGACCTCTTCATGGGGTCATGGTGAGGAGGGGAGCCTGGTATGTGGGAAGAGCTAAGAAAGTGGTGAGAAAGGAGGAAAGGCGGCAGGAAAGGCGGCAGGCAGGAGAGCCCGGTGAGTTGTCGGGCGGTCTAAGGGCCCTGGGGACCACAGAGGTGCGACAGCTGCTCCTCTTGAGTCAGGCTCCACCGTGCTTCCCTCCCCACCAGACAGTCTCTCAGAGGAGCCAGGTGGACCCACGGTCCTGCAGCCATAGAGCTAGAACAGGAAGGACCATTGAGGTCACCTGTCCAGGGGTGTCACCTAGGTTTTGTCTCGAAGGCTGACTGCACCTGCTCCATGGTGGCTGCAGGGGCTGCTGGCTCAAGAAGGATTCAGAGGTGGTCTCTAGCTGGGCCTGGATTCATGCGGGGAACAGAACGGACGGCAGCAGAGGGAGGGCGTGTTTGCCATCCCTGATCCGGCTGCCTCTTTATCAAGCAGACAAGACACTGAGGTCCAGAAAGAAAACGCCCCTGTCAAAGAAGGTGCCAGCTGCCAAGAGCCAGGGGAGGGCTCAGACCTCCAGCGCCCCGCTCAGGCTTGATCCCCAGCCTCGCTGTGCTCCTTCTGTCAAGAGTCCCGGTCTTCCCGGAAGCCCAGAGCCCAGTGACACACAGCCCCCTGTCAGCTGATCCCTGGCAACCTCTGGGTTTCCAGGAGTATGGACAGGCCGCACACTGTGTCCCCATCACCTTCACAGCTGGCTCCGTCAGCAGCCACCCGGAAGCCAGGCCCACAGTCGGGGAGGCAGCGGTAGGACCCGAGCAGGTTCACACAGCGCTGTCCCTCTCGGCAGAGGCGAGCATCCCCCGCACACTCGTCCACATCTGGGGGCAGATCAGGGCAGACGGCTGTGTGAACACGATCCCCAGGCCTGCCTCGCCACCTGACCCTGGCCCAGCCTATCCACAGAGGCTTCGTCTGCAGGCCCAGGAGCCACTGGCAGGAAGGGCCCCACCCCTTCTGCTAGCTCTTTCCATTGTCCTGCTCCCTACCCCAAAACACAGGGCCCACTCCAAGGGACCCGAGCGCTTGGGCCTGCAGCTTCTAATGCAAGGCTGCAGACAACGTCCCCTTGGGCACCTGGCTTGGAGCCCAGTGGAGACTTGCCGGCACCAGACCCTCCTGGTGGGAGTGCAGAGATACAGATTGGGGGTCAGCATCAGCACCGCCACCCAAGGTCAGATCTGTCATCCAGCAACATTGCTGAGGAGTACGACTCACTTGCCAGTCTCAGTCACTTGGAAATGATGCTGAGTGTTGGGAAAGCTTCCGAGGCCTGTTCAGGTTCAGAAGGCCGTGAGCATGTGATAACCGCCCCTATGTGTCTTGGGCTGCCCATCACCCCCTGAAACCTGGGCCTCACTCGTCTGTAGCTCCTGTAGCAGGAAGGAGCCTGGTGGGGACATGGCATTGGGACCTCCAGGCTGACATCAAATGCCCTCAAGAATGGGCCATCCCTGCAGGTCTGTGTCCCCAGCTAGGATCCTGGCCCTGGGGACCCTTCCACGCACCTGGGTCATGTCTGAGGAGGACCTCTCCTCCCAGGGGCTCCCTCACCTCTGCAGTTCCTGTCATCCCAGGCCAGGGCGAAGCCAGCCGGGCAGGCACAGGAGAAGCGGCCGGGTGCGTTAAGGCAGGTGTGGGAGCAGGGGCTGGGGCCTCCTGAGCACTCGTCCCTGTCTGGGGCAGGAAAGGATCTGGTGGTCTCTGCTCCCAGCCTCCTGCCAGCTGGCTAGGAGAGGCCATCCATCCCAGGCTGAGAGGCCTCCCACGTCCATGCCAGGGTGGGGGGCTCTCACCCACACAAAATGCTCCTTGGGAGTCCAGCTCAAAGCCCTCGGGGCAGCCGACCTCGTTCTCCTCTGCAAGACAAAGAGGATAGACTCTAAGGACATGAGGGTGTCCTCTCCCAGGGCTGCCCTGGCCGTAACCCAGGCTCACAGCTCCCCACCCGCCAGCTTAGCCAGGCAAAGCCAAGACAGTGCCAGAGAGTCAGTGAGCCCATTTCCTGCCCAGGCCTGTTGGAGGTGATGACTGCAGGGCACACCCAGTCAAGGAAATGTGTCCTGAGGGGCTCCCAGTGGGGCTGGGCAGTGAGTCAGGCAGCCCCAGGAAAACCATTAAAATAAAACACAGGAGGTCAACACGTGCAGAACGGCTCTCCTGAGACCACAGCAGCAATGCACAGAGAGCGTGCGGAGGGGCAGGGGACAGCGTCGCACGGGCAGCAAAACCAAAGGCAGGGGAGGGGTGAGCTGGGTTCTGGAGGCGGGAAGGACACAAGACAGTCTAAATCAGCGGTGTCCTATCCTTCGGCTTCTGTGGGCCATGCTGGAAGAAGGACTGTCTTGGGCTGCACATAAAATACACCAGCACTGAGGATAGCTGATGAGCTAAAAAAAAATCGCAAAAAATCTCATAATGTTTTAAGAAAGTTTACAAATTTGTGTTGGGGCACATTCAAACCTGTTCCGGGTGTCATGCGGCCTGTGGGCCACGGGTTGGACAAGCTTGGTCCAAATAATTGTAGGGACAGCCACCCTTGATGAGGCAGTGCCAGGCTAGGATTTGAGAGACAACATCTGTACAGTGACACCCTGCAAGGCAGGCGATGTCATGCCTGCTGTGCAGATGGGAACACTGAAGGTCGGAGGGGACCAGGACATTGCCTCTAAGGTCCCACAGCCAGAAAGTGGTGCACTTGGGATTTGAACTGGGGTCTGCCTGACCTCAAAGCAGTGCTCTTATCACTGTCTCTCATTCAATGTTCAAAACACTTTGGAACCTCAAGTGATGTGAACGTGTGTATCTTTAGCATTCACTGGGTAAGAATAGAAAGCATGTTTCTGTGGGTCTCCAGCGTTCCAACAGTGGCTCCTGCCTCCCTGGGTGGGGCCTCGGTGCAGGTGCCCATGGGAGAAGAGGGCGGGGTGACTCAATTCCTGAACATCAGCCTGGGGTGGTTGGACCTTCACCTTGGGGCCTGGGGAAGGGATCCAGAGGTTGAAGCAGGGGTGGCTTAGAGAACTGTGTCCCTGTGAGGAGGGTAGGTGGATGGATGGGAGTGGGGACAGGCCAGGTGAGCAGGCCAGGTGGGCCGTCTCAGTCTGAAGTCTCTGGCCCATGGTCAGGGGTGGCAGGGGTGGACTCCAGCCATGTGCATTTGGGCCCCTGGCAGGTTTTAGCTGGGGCAGTGGGGGTGAGACAAAGCAGGGGGGCCTCACCCGCCTGCAGGGCTGTAGTGAGCTGGAAGCGCAGAGCCTCAGCCTGTGGGTCAAAGGCCGAGCTGATAGCTGAGGCCCGCAGGTGCTGCACCAGCTGGGGCTGGGGGCCCCGGGCTGCGTTGTACTGGATGCTGTGGTTGCAGCGCAGGAACGAGGGGAGGCTGCCCTGAAAGAAGTGCTGTGTGGAGTCCACAAACAGCTGGCCAGGCCCTGTTTGCACATAGCGCTCCTCAAAGTCCTGTAAGATGAAGAGGAGGGGAGGAGGAGGAGGGGTGGGGGAGAGGGAGAAAGGGGTCAAGGTTGGAAGGGGAGGAGGAAAATTCTGAGATTTCAACTCTCAAGCAGCCTGAGACCTTCACCTCAACTCAGGGGCTTAGGGAGGCTTGGGAGGAGACGGGGTGAGCCATGGAAGGAGACGGGGTGAGCCTTGGGAACAGACGGGGTGAGCCTTGGGAGGACATGGGGTGAGCCATGGGAGGAGACGGGGTGAGCCTTGGGAGGAGACGGGGTGAGCCTCTCAGAGCCTCTTCTAACCAGCTGGGCTGCTCTGGGCAGCTCACCTGTCTTCAGGACTCTTGCTTTTGAACAAGAATAGTCTGATTTGGAGTCGCAGGGCTCAGAGCATCCCCTCAAGGGCTCAAACTTGAGCCTATAACAACTGCTCATCCTACCCTAAGTCCAAGGCCAGACTGTGGCCCAGCCCTGCAGCGGTGTCAGGAGGGAGAGTAGGCCTGGCTGCTCAGGGGTGGTTGAGAGCTGGGCGCCTCTATCTCTCTCACCCACCCTGTCTGCACACCCCAGGGCCTGACCCCTGACCTGCACTTGAAGATCTGCATCAGCCAGGCTCTCGGGGACAACGCCATTGACCACCACGTCGAGGAGCAGGAGGCCATCGGGATCCAGGCCCCGGGCCACCTGGGTCATCGTGAGCAGCTCCCCTGCAATCCATCCCCACCCAGCCCAGAGTCACTACGGGAGGTCCTGGACGCAGGCTTCAGTCCTACCTGGCCCACCTAGGGGAGGCCCTGCTTACCTGTAGCAAACTCCACGTGTGACTCCTGCCGGAACCTGCCCCCGGTCAGGGAGTGGCCATTCAGGGCTTCCCCACTCTCTCTGGCCAGGGCCCAGTAGATGGGGGCGATGGTGACCAGGAGCACCCGCATCAGAGGTCCTGGGTGGGGCAGGGCGTGGAGGCCAGGTTAGAGCTGATCCTCAGGGCAGCCACTCTCCCGCTCAAGGTCCCGTCATGGCTCCCCACTGCCCCCAGGAGGGCTCAGCCCCTTCCTTTGCTGCCCATACTCAGCCTTGTGACTGCCATGCCAATTATTTAACCAGAATCCGGGACCTGGTGGAGGCAAATAATCTACTTCCTGGAGTAACTGTGAAATTAATAAATGTATACAAGGAAATGCTTAGCAACATAGTGAGACTCTGTCTCTACAAAAAATAAGAATATTAAGAACATTAGCCAGGTGTGGTGGCATACGCCTATAGTCCCAGCTGCTGGGGAGGCTGAGGTAGGAGGATCGCTTGAGCCTGGGAGGTTGAGGCTGCAGTGAGCTGTGATTGTACCACTGCACTCCAGCCTGGGCAACAAAGCGAGAAGCAGTCTCGAAAAGAAAAAAAAGAAGAAATAAATGCATATACCTTGCTGATATTTAACTCAGTTCAACAAATACCGATTGAGGGCCCCTGGGTCACCACGGGGCCAGGGACTCCACGGACTGTCATGACATATTTGCTGAGTTGAAGTCAACCAACTATTCTAACTTGCAGATCCCTTCTGGACAAGCTCAGGTTTGTTCCAAACCATTTGAAAAAAGAACCAAAAAATGGCCCTGGACGTGGATTCTCAGATCTTCTTCATGTGATGCCCCGCCCTCCACGGAGGGCCAGGCGGGGCCATGGACTGGGCAAGGGGAACACATCCACTCCCCACTTGCTTGGGGTCAGGGACAGTGCCAGCTTTGCAAGGTTCACATGAGCCGGCCAGGCCCCTGTGCATGGGCACCACCTTCTCAGCCTCTCTGTGCGCCTGTTTCATGCAACAGAGCCTGGCCCGCGGGCTTGGGGCCAGATGTTTCTCCAGGCCTCGCACTCCTGCAGCTGGAATAAGCCGTCATGTCTGGGCAGTGTCTCACTTCACCTGCTGTCTGTTGACAGCCAGCTCAGAGTGACTTCCCCAGCAAAATCCCCTGACCCCACACTGCTTATGCAGGACCATGGCCAAGGGCAGCTTCAGAAGAGCTGCTTTTAGTGAAGACCCCATGAGCACTGCCCCTCCTGGACCCCCACGAGGGGCCAGGGATTCCTTGGGAAGGGAGAGACAGTGACGTCCACTGTCACAAGCTTTGCACGTCTCTCAGAGCATTCATCGCTCAGACATCGTACATGAGAGCTCTGTGTGCAGGTGACTCTTCTTAGTCCTCTAGGTTTTCTGGGCAATTCAGTTCTTCCTGTTTCCCGCTTCCTGTCACCTCCAGCCCGCACCCCTCACTCATGACTGGAGATCCCTCCACTTCCATCAACCCGGGCCTTAACTTAAATGGGGAAAAGCCTCAGGGAGCCATCGGTGGCTTGGGAAACCACAGTCTGAGCGCCCACACCCACAGAACACTGACCGTTTCACACACTCTGGGTCTAACTGTAAATGCAGTTACTTTGTTTTGGGGGGGCTGTGAGGGGGACAGGAAGTTGCCTGCACCTGAGTCCACTTTGGCTTGCACCCAGCTTTGAGAGGTGGTCAGACATGCTCTGGTCATCAGGCCCTGAGCAAGTCTCAGGGTACAGGCTCTGCCCCCTCCTAGGTCCAGCATGTTCTGGAGGATCCTTGCTGGGCTGGGACAATGGCCCAGAGGCAGGCGATGCTCTGCCTCCCACTCACCCACGTTTGCTGGGACATGGTGGATGCTGCTGCGGATGCTGCTGACCCCGGAGCGCACCTCCTGCATCACGCTGGTGTTGAGTCTGGCCACACCAAATTTCCGGCCATTGATCACCCCAATCATGCTGCCCCAGCTCCCCTGGGGTTCCCCTGTAAGTGGAAAGAACGACAGTGCCACTGACTATCCACCCCCGAGGCCCAGAGCACAAGCAGGCTGTCATTCCCGTTTCATGAAGGAGTTAATGGAGGCTTGGAGAGTTCACCTCCACTTGTCCAAGGACACACAGCTAGGGGGTCATGGACTCAATGGCCAGGGGATCTTGGTTCTAAAAGGGAAGGGAGGCTGTTAGGAGGAACCCTGGGCTGGGGTGTGGGGGGAGGCGCATGGAGCTGGCTTCTAATTCTGGCTCTGCCATTCCTTGAAACCTGGCCGCGTCAGGCCCCCCAAGCCACACCTGAGTTGGCTCACCTGTAAAATGAGGAGGTGGGGCCACAAACTCACAGAAGACCTGTGGGTGTGTGGAATGCCAGGACCCCATGATGGCGCGGCTGACACACTGAAGGAGCCAGGGCACCGAGCCAGAGCCGGGTGCTGTCACCTGAACAGCCCCATTCCATCAGTGCTGCTGGCTCCAGCTGCCCTGCAGCTGGCCTGGCTGGTGGGCTGGCTTCCTAGCGGCCGTCCGCCAGGCCGCCTGTGAGCAGATGCTCCTTAGTGCTAATCAAATGGATGGTGCAGGCACTGGGGGGTGCTTCCTCTGACTAATGGGCCAGCTGTCTTGTTTAGGCAGATGGCATTCCAGGGGGCGAGAGACAGAAGTTAGCCTGCCTCTCCACTCACCAGCTCTCAGGGGAAATTAACAACAAATTGCCCATGATCTGTCAAAAAATAACATAAAACACTCAAGTGCTAGGATCCTAAGTGGATGAATCAAGGGGCTGGTTAATTTGGGGTTCTAGGAAGCAGGGCCATTTCCTGCAGCCCATAGCTGGGGTTTGATGAGATTTGAAGCCCATATGGGATGTTTCTCATCAGTATTCGATGCTCTGGGGCCTATGGGAGGGACAGGAGAAGGGCCGTGAACCTATCCCTGGCCTTTTAATAGGGGGGTGAGGAAGGAATCGGGAGCTGCAGACAAGAAGGCTGGAGCGTGACCCGGGGAGCTTTGGAAGGGGACAGGAAATGGAACCCAGGCACGGCAAGCCACCGCCGGCTCTTTCAGACATGGAGTGACGTAGCAGCCTCTTGTCTCCCTACAAGGCCAGGATTGGGACCTGCCAGGCTGAGGGGGAAGGAGGAAAAGTAGTCAGGAGGGAAAACGTATTTACAGTTAGGCTCCCAAACCCGAACTCCCTTCACCCACCAATGCCCCTTAAGGAAATCGTCCCATAGAAATATTCAGGGCCACACACAAAGATGCACAGCACGGTGTGGTTTTGGGGAATGGAAAGTAGAAAAATAAACTACGTTGCTCATTTGACAAAGCCGACAGGAATGAAGATAAAAAACGTTCCCATGGAATGATATGAAGCCAATAAAAAAGCTGTGGACCGATGTGTATCATAATGGGATGTCTTCCAAGATAGAGGAAGTAAAAATGGCAGGTTAGAGAGGTTGTAAATTTGACATTTGTAAAAAGAGAAGTGTATCTCTTATATCCAGAGAAAACAGTGAGGAAGAATGTATCTCCCCGAATAATTGCTTACGCTACTTTGGGTCATTGAATTATGGGAGAGAATGACCTTCTTCTTCATAGATTTCTACAGTATCCGGCCTTTCTACAAGTAACATATATAAAAGAAGAATACTTGTTTCTATTACAAAAATAAGGAGGCTGGGTTATGGGTCGAATGGTACCACCCTACCCAAAACTCATATGTTGAAGTCCTAACCCCCAGGACCTCAGAATGTGACCCTATTTGAAGACAGGGTCTTTAGAGTAAGCCAAGTTAGAATGAGGTCATTAGGGCAGGTCTAATCCAACATGACTGTGTCCTTATAAATAGGGAAGCATAGACACACACAGGGAAGATGAAGGCAGAGGTGGGGGTGATGTTTCGACAAGCCACAGAATGCCGAGGACCACCAGCAAGACCCTGGGAGAGAGGGTTGGACCATATCCTCCCCAAAGTGCTCAGCAGGAACCAGGGCTACTGACAGTGTGATCCTGGATTTCCAGCCTCCAGAACTGTGAGACAATCAGTGTGCCTTAAGCCACCAGCTTGTGGTGTTTTTTTTTTTTTTTTTTTACCGTAGCCCTAGAGAACAAATACAAAGGCCACATACATAGCTCCGTGGTTTGGACTGGGGCCTGCCAACAGGAGAGGGTAAGAAGTGGGACAAAGCCCTGAAATAGAGGGGGGTCTGCTTAGACCCAAGGCTAACTCCGAGACCGCATCTGCGGCTGGGGGGTCAGAGAACTGCTGAACTTTCAGAGCTGTATAGGTTGGTACCCTGTCCCGGCCTATGGGAGATAATGACAGCAGGGGCCAGAAAGGGTCCCACATTTGGTTGGCAGTGGGTTTCACATGGATTTCCAGGGGGTCAAGTGTCAAGTCCCAATTCCAATTATCTGAGAGGCACTGCCTGGGAGGGCTCATTGGAGGAAAATTCTGCCAGTGCATGTGGTGATAGATTAATGATGTCTGCCAGGGACAGGGAGGGAGATGCATTGCCACACATAGGGAGTGTTCCCTTGTGGTGATAGATTAGTGATGTCTGCCAGGTACAGGGATGGGGACACATCGCCACACATATGGAGTGCTCCCTCCGGAGGCACAGGCCACAGAAATAATATCTTATGACTTGCCTTTATGCAGGGCTGAATCCATTTACTGTGGTTTCTCAGGATAGATCTTTTCTTAATTTTAAAGTTGGTCTGACCCAAGGGAGAAGGGAGCTGATTGAGGAATCTAAGATGGCAGGGGTCCATCCCACCAGGAAGCCATCACTTTTCCAACCACCTGCCATGGCCAGGCAATGTGTGACACCTGGGACATGCACTGACCCACAGACTTTTTGCAGCAGCCCCTGAGGGCACCAGGGATGCCCTTGACTTCCTCTGCCTGCTTCCAGGGGCTGTGCAGCGTCCAGACAGAGGACATGCATTTGTGCCAGTTAAGAGAGAACAGCCAGGCCAGTGTTCCCTGTCCAAGATGAGTGGCAAACACTTAGCACCTCCAAGACTCAGTTTCCACAACTGTAAACGGGCAGGGTAGGGGTTCATTCTGGGCTTGTGACAAAGCAAAGGGAAGAGGTGGGGAGCTGGCAAGGCAGGGGACAGGTCCCCCATAAGCACTACACAATCCCCATTGGCAAGAGATCCTGCCTCTGTCCACAGAGGTCCAGACAGGGCCGCCCCGTACCTCTCACGACCAGGAACGCCCGGGCTGTGGCAGAGCCCAGGAGATTGTGAGCGACGCAGTCGTAGGTGCCTGCATCCCCAGTCTCCACATTCTCCAGCCACAGGCTCCCATCAGGCAGGGTCCGGAGTCGCCGGCTGGCCCGCAAGGGTTGACCCGCCCTCAACCA